CCTGCTGTGGTGGAAAGGCTTTTTCAAAAAAGTCTGATTAAATAATTAGCTACTGCTGAGCAAGCTACAATTTAGTAACTGCTAGTCAGGGGACAGTGAGGAAATCATTCTCCCTTTGGGTCTAGCCACTGTTTCTTCACTTCAGGTAACAAAGAAAACATTTCAAATATTTCCTTTTGTCAGGAGACACTCTTTGCTCCTGATTGTATTTAAACTGACTCTTAAACAAGGAAAGGAAAAATTTTCATTCTGTTTCTTATGACAAAATGTAATTCCTGATTAACTTCATGAAGCAGCCCAAGTGATCCAAAAACAAGTATTTTTGTAGACTTTCCCCTTGCAACCAGCTCTACTGATGAGTAAGAAAGAGTAGTAGTCTGCACTGGTTCTTCACCTTTTCTAAGGTCACTCAGTGAAAATACTATGAAATAACTGTAAATATTGCATTGCTGTAAGTAACATGCATACATTTCACTAAGCAGTGCATTTAATTCAATCAAACTGAAGACTGCTGAATATCTTTGTAATTGGTTAAATCGTTATAACGATTCCCAGGGCTGGACAGGCGAGTAGATTTTAAGCCGCGGGGCCGTGCAGCGCGGTCTGCACATGCGCAGTGTGCTTGGTGAGCCCTGATGATTCCCCACAGCTCTGCTGCATAAAGGGGCTGTGGTGGGAGGAGCTTGGCATATAACCATGTGGAATAAAAAACTTAAAGAACAACCAATAGTCTAGTAGAACCTTAAAGACTAACAAAACATGTAGATGATGATATGAGCTTTTGTGGGCACAGCCCTCTTCCTCAATGACCGGCATCTGAAGCTTTTGAACACATCTAATGAGTCAGCGATGGGGAACCTAAGTTGGTGAGTGGGCTGCACGAGTGGCTCATCTGCATCACAGTGGGCCATGAGATGGTGGTAACCAAGTTGATCTCCCAAGTTATGGTAGTTTTGCTAATTTCACTTGCATGCCCAGAATTTGCGTGGTGTACCAATTGAACCATAAAGCAGTGCTTTAATTGCATGCAGAGAGAGCACATAGCTCTCACGGGCAATGTTATGTGTAATCAGCACACACCTCACTTCACCTGCCTTTGTTTATATATGTGGACAGAATCTGACAACCCTGACAAAATGTCTCACCGATCACACATACAACTCTTATGAGCCTCATGCAGCCCCTGCACCTCAAGTTGCCCACCACTGAGCTAAGTGGTAGGGGCAAAGAACCTTGAAACTATGTTTCATCAGTACATATACTACTACATGTTTAACCCTGGGTATTTGCTTGCTTATTTTGTATCATCAAGGGAAAGACACTCATCCTAGGTACAACCTCCACAAAAATTACCTTCTTCAGCCTTGTGAAAGTATCTTAGAGCCTGAAAAAGATAAGGGTCTAAGTTAGTAATGTAATGCTAAATGAGTTTAAATCCATATTAATCAATTTATTTCTGAGAGCACCCACCTGTATTAGAAGACTATGTTTTCTTAATCAACATATACTGTTGGCCATTTATTGTCAACAGAACAGAAAAAGCCTTGTAAGATGTATTTAACTACCACAAAATCGTGTATTTAAAAATCCATCAAAGCAGAGCCTGGAATTCTTTAGAAAATAATGTTTTGTTTTGTTCAGTCTACTAGTTTTTAATATTGCATATTTTTCTTGAGTCATCATATAAATAGCAAAGCAGGGTCTTTTGAAGATCTGTTGTAGTAAGGTTAATATCTCCTTTCCAAGTGTATCAGGTTCTATGAGTTGTCCTGAATTACCTGACTATTATTACTATTTGATAACTTTACACTGTAAAATAAAAGCTTGCAAAACGTACATCACTGCCAACTGCAACACTTTTAATTGATTTCAGTCTTTGAAGTTAAGACTGATACCAGAACAACTGAAGAAATATATGTGAGATTTATATTTGTTTTTGACAGCACGCAAGTCCTTTTTACACACTCGACAGGAGCAGTCATGATAGTGAGCATACAACCTTCTCCACGCTATCCTACTCCTATGCTCTAATCACGATGGTTTGAAAGCAATTGTGTCTAGATGTCCATTTATTCCTTGGCTTGGCACCTCACTGCAACTTTTGCTGGCCCTAGTTGTTATTACCATGCTAGACTGACCCACTATTTCATGTAATATATAGCCATCACATACCAAGTTTTTTTGTTCATTGTTAATGATTTACAGGGAAAGTACTGTCTAGTTTTAAAAAAAGCCACTAAACATCGACAAAATGCTCTTTGTGCTGATGTTGCAGAAATTTATTTTCAGCAACATGATGACATTTTTGAGGGTGGAGTTGACACTGCAAAACACTTAATATTTTGTTCATTTTGAAAGTAGTATAAAACCCAGGGCCAGGTTTTGCAGAATTCAGCAGCACTACAAAATCTAGGCTGCCATTTTGGATTTCTTCTTCTGAGGGGTGAGATTTAGTGGCCACTTTACAAGTTTCATTTTCAGTTGCAAAAGCCCATTTTTAAAAAAAATCAAAACTCAAGCAACAAAAACGAGCTTTCTGCCAGGGAGCAAAGCTTATGCAGCTGCTTTCCCTGTTTTGTTTTGTTTTGTTAAGGTGGAGGGAAGGAGACATTATTTAGTAGAGATTATGGCCAAAAATGTGCTTGTTCAAAGAGAAAACCCAAACACAGCTGCTGGAACTTAGATGTGTTTCCTAAGGGCAAAGCCCGATGGGAATTTCAAAACCAAGTTATTCAACCAAAATATTAACACATTTAGTGTGATTTAATAATTTGTTGAGAGTCCCTATACTAACTGACCAAAAAGTTACATAGCTGAATAGAAAGGGGGGGGGGGGGGAGAGAAAAGAAAAAAAAAACAGCCACAGATTTTTCATGTCTGGATTATGCTAAAAATAATTCTATCACCACTCTCTGAAATATGTGAGAGCTTGTTTATATGAATACTTAGTGCATACTGGGGAGAAAATCTACCTTGTACTAGCCTGCCATCCATTAACTCACCATTTGGACATTGATGTGCACAAAAAATTCCCTTACTTTGAAATAAGAGTAGGCAACTTCTAGTAAAGAGGCACATGTTCCACACAGACACATGCTGCATCTCAGGCAGCTGCAAGGTAGCTACACGTCCCAGCCTGTTGCGCATTCCTTGTGCGGGCAAGCCCTTACATAGCAGACAATGTACTCTAGTAATGAAAAGCACAAGACCTGGCATTAGGAGAACTGTGATGTACTCATGGTTATAACTCAGACTTCCTGTTTGACCTTGGGCAGCCTCTTAAACTCTCTGAGGGTATGTCTACATTTGCACTCTCTTTCGAGAGAGGGATGCAAATGAATACATTCCAAATTGCAAATGAAGTGAATGAAGCTGGGATTTAAAACCCCCACTTCATTTGCATATTTGCGTTATGGTGCTATTTCGAAATAGCAGACGCTATTAAGATGTGGTTATTTCAAGAGAAAACCCTTCTCTCGAAATAACCCTTATTCCTCATACAATGAGGTTTACCAGTTATTTCGAGAGAAGAGTTTTCTCTTGAAATAACCGAGTCTTAACAGCGTCTGTTATTTCGAAATATGGCCATAACGCGAATATGCAAATGAAGCGTGGGATATTTAAATCCTGGCTTCATTTGCAATTTTGAATGTCTTCATTTGCATCCCCCTCTCAAAAAATGGTGCAAGTGTAGACATACCCAGAGTCTCAGTTCCTTCAGACTTAACAAACCGAACAAAAAAAACATAGGAAGGAAATAATCCTGGCTAAGAAATCTCACTGAGATGGGCGCATTAGCATGCATACAAAATTCCATGCCAATGGAGGACAAAAATAGCTCAAGTCTGATCTGGAGAAAAACACAAGGAATTAAATAGTCATGAGTATGAAGAGGAAACATTTGCTAATGAAAAATTACAAAAGCAGAGGGAACCATTTTATTTTCAGAAACGGAAATGAAAATAAAAATACAGCCGCTCCTCGAGTTGCGAACAGTCGACTTACGACCGTTCACACTTACGACCAAAGCTCCCATGGAGCGGTTGTAAAGGCGGTCCCCGAGTTACAAACGCGATCCGTGCTTACGAACAGCGCGGTCGCGTGTAACTCAATGGGGTCCGAGTTACGAACAGCTTGAGTTACGGCCAAGTGTTTAGTCTATAACTCGTTCGTAACTTGGAGAGAGGCTGTATTGAGTATCACGTGAAAAAATACGTAGGTCAGGAGTGGGGAAACTTTTTTGGATTGGGGTTCGCTGACCTAGATAAAAATCAGTCAGGGGCCACACATAAGTGGGAAGTAAAACAAAGCAAAGCAAAAACTCACACTCACCGACTGAGAAGGAGAAAGACACTCCCCACATTCCCCTTGCACACCAGAGCCTGGGGGAAGGGGGGTCCAGCCTGGTAAAGTTTGTGTGGTCCAGCCCTGTAGTGGGCCAGCGGGGACCTGGAGTGCCTACACAGGCTCCCCAATGCTGGGGAAGGGAGCAGACCCTCAGGGGCCAGATCTAGGCAAGCTGGGGGCCGCATCAGGCCCCCGGGCCTGAGATTCCCCACCCCTGACATAGATGTTCAGATATCCCAGTGACAAGAGCTGCATTGGAACCTAGACAGACAACTATCTGTGGTCTGTGCTAACAGCAATTGCTGAGTATGAACTAGGAATGTTAAATTTAAGATTAATCAGCTAATTGAGTAGTTGATGGAATTTCTATCAACTACTCAATTAGCCGATAAGGGGGGAAAGCTCGCTATCCCCACTGCACATCTGCCTTTTAAATACAGTAAGAGCTGCCCACAGCTCTTACTACATTTAAAAGGCAGCATCACAGCGAGGAACCTGGGGCAAGTGGGGACTCAAGCAAGTGGGGACTGCTGCTGTGCCTCTGGCTCCCTGTGGAGAAAGTGCTGGGGCAAACTGGCTTTTAAGCCAGCCCCCCCCCCCCCCCCCGTTACTGCCTCTGATACATCCCTAGTAGGAGGGGGAGAGAGGGAACGACTAGTCAAATAGTGACTCGACTACCTGATAAGCTTAGGCTTTTCGGGCAGTCGACTAGTTGCTTACATCCCTAGTATACCCCATGTTACATGTTATGTAAGGGTTTTCCCCATGTGAGCATCTTTCATTAAATCATCCGCATTTGAGAGAAGGTGGTTCACTAGGCTAATGAGCTAAGAGAACTCCTCTACTGTATATTATCAATGGAAAATAATTTGGAGGCTCTCATGTATTTCTTATAGACTTAATATCAAGCTTTCAGAGCCCCGTAGTCCAAAAGGATATTTGCCAAGTAATACATCATGAGTCAGTTCATAACTATTCTAGGCAAGGCCTGACTTGAGAATAAATGAATTAATGTTTGTTGGTTTTACATAAAGCCTGGCATATTTCTAAACAGATCAACTTTATCAGCCCCAAATTTGTATTTCATCCATGAGTACAATTTTGCATATGACTGCATCTGTATTGTTCTTCATTCTGACCACTTCTGGGAAGTGAGCTTCATTGGTACAATTATTACTAGTACATGTTAATGGCTTATTTTTGCTAAGAAAAAGCCCAAGGGGAACAAGTATGTGCACACAGTACCTCTTCATAGGTGGAGCTTGGTGGTGTTGCAAACAGTACTGCAGCTATTTTGCTCTGGTACCATGGCATTTCAGCAAATGAGTAACACCTGGAGCACAAGCAAAAAAGTTTTTATATATTTCACATATCGCCTCTATTTTGGGGTTCATACTTTTTAGGGGTTGGACAGAACCCCTAACTGTCAAAGTTTGTCATCCAGACAGGGACCCACAATTATGTGATTAAATGTAATGATATTACTTGGTCTTTGAATGAGTTGTTACAATAATTTTATCATAAGTCTCATAGGGTAGCCATATTAGTCCGTATCTGGAAAAAAAATAAAAAAGGAGCCCTGTGGCACCTTTGGGACTAACAAGTTTATTAGGACAAAAGCTTACTCCCTAATAAATCTGTTAATCTCTAAATTGCCACAGGACTCTTCGGGTTGTTTATTTTTTTTTTAAATAACATTGGGATACTTAAAAAAAATTAATCAAAGCAACTGCTACATAAGACAAAATCACTCCATCAAAATTAATGTGTCTCCACTGTTGCTAATCGTTGTTGCATAATAAAAAAATAAAAATCCAACTTGTAGCATTAAGAGTTTAAAAAACAGCCTACACCTCGATTTAAATGAGAAAATCAAGGAGTTAAACTACCATTCCCATTCAGATCCAGCCTTATGCTTGTACTGTAGTGATTTAACCACATACTATATGGAACTGTGAGTTCAAAAATTTAAAGCTGGATAATATAATAGCCTGACCAAAACATTTGCTTGTTCCTCTTGATTATTACATTTTAAACCCCCCAAAATTATAGTGCTCTTGAGAGACTGCATGTTCTACAACCATGAGCACAGGACTGGGTGCCAAACTATTAAATTTTAATCCCCTGTTCACTTCATTTTCCCCATTTCTAGAATGGAAATAGTTATTCCTTGCCCATGGGAATGCTGCAAAGATTCCTATGTGTAAAGAATTTAAACATGTAAATATGCACATATGTACTATTGATAGTTTGTAACACCCGTATTCTGGAAAATAAATCAAATTTATGATTAGCCTTGATTTGCCAAGAAAACGTTTGAAATTCCTCATACGTGAAGCAATGGTACATACAGCCTTTTTCTGGGGGAAAAAAGAGGTGCAGAAGAAGTCTAGAAACGTACTGAAGGCTGAGAGTTGAAAGTAAACACCCACATGGGGTGTTTTGCAAGTAGCAAAACCTTGGTAGGATGCTATTGATAAACATTAGCAATGCTAGTGCAGGATGAAACAGAAGGTGAGCAAGAGTAAAGAACTGATTGAATAACTGGTTGAGATTCTGAATCCCTACTCTAAAAAAAGAATGTCTGGGACACTCCTGTCAGGATGGTTAAACACTGGAATAAATTGCCTAGGGAGTTTGTGGAATCTCCATCACTGGAGATATTTAATAGCAACTTAGATAGACATTTATCAATGATGATCTAGAACAGGGCTGAGCAAAAATACAGCCCAGGGGCTGGATCCGACCCACCAAGCCACCAGATCCAGCCCATGGATCACCCTGCTGCGACCCTCAGGCACACGCAGCTGCCATGGTTTAAAACCCAGTCCCTACATCTCCCTACTTTGCAGCAAGAGGGAGGCTTTGTGTGATCTCCCCACCCTGAGCCCAATTCTCAGATCCTATTGGCCAGAAACAACCTGCCAATAGGAACTGACCTCAGCCTCTCTCTCAGCTCCTATTGGCTGGAAACATACAGGCAATTGGAACTGAGAGATTGGCCTGAAAGCCTGGGGCAGCCTGAGTTGAGAGCCATGTGGAGGGACTGGGGCTGAAGCAGGCAGGGAGCCCAGCCTGCCTTGGAGGTGCTGCAGCCTGCTGGCCAGGAGACATTTAGGTAAACTCCTCCCAACCAGCACCTGCCTCTGGCACCCTAACTCCCTTCCCCAGATCACCATCCAAACCCTCTGCACCCCCTGCCCCAGGTGACAACTCCCTCCCAGGCTCTGTACCCCCTCCCAGGCCCTGTACTCCTCCCCCAGGCCAGAATCCTCTCCTGCACTCACATTCAACTCCCTCCCAGGCTCTGTACCCCCTCCCAGGCCCTGTACTCCTCCCCCAGGCCAGAATCCTCTCCTGCACTCACATTCCCTCCTGGAGCCTACACCCCAATCCCCCAACTCAGGTCACAACCCCCTCCGTCACCCAAATACCCTCTCAGACCCCACACCGTCTCCTGTACCCCAGTCACTCTTCTGCACCTAACCTCCAACCTAGACCCTGCACCCCTCCACATAAAAGTGCGGCCCTTGACCACTTACCAAAATCTTGGAGTGGCCCCCCACCAAAAATTATTGCCCCCCCCCGATCTAGATGGTGCTTTGTCCTGTGAGGGCAGGGGGCTGAACTCAATGACCTCTCAAGGTCCTTTCCAGGTCTGTGATTCCCCTCAAACCACTTGAAAGGTGATGTATTTTGGCAGCATTTTAATGCCAAAAGTAATGACACATAATTTCCTGTCCTACCAACTTTTCCCTTACGTTTTCCTGAGTCAGCTGACTTGGGCAGGCGGGGCTTGATCTGGGCATTCTCTACCACATCTAGAGGGTTGAACGAGCTGGACTTTAGGCTCCCCAGGGGTTCCATGTGGTAACAGTTGGTGCCTCAATGCCTACAAAATAAGTCCTTAGACTCTTCCCGTAAGTCAAGCTACCTTAGACGTAGGGGTTCAGGCAAGCTGAAACTTTGGAAAGGCAAGCAGGGAAAGATCATAAACTTTGGGTGGAAGGCTGGAGTTTACTAGGTTTGCAAGGGAGATTAGAAATAAAGCCATGAAAAGGAGCAATTGGTGGACTTGACACATATTCTATAAATCCTTTCTTATCCTCTTTATTTTCACCATCTTCGTGGATATGGCTACACAGAAAAAATAGCCCTCAAACTCAACAGCAAGCCTCAGAGTCCAGGCCAAGTGGGCCAAACAGCAGTGTAGATGTTCCCGCTTGGATCCTGGGCTCTGAGACATTTTAACAGAGGTGGGTCTCAGAGCCTACACTCCTACTTCAGCAGAAGTGCCTATGCAGCTCTTTTCAGCTCAGAAGCACAAGCCTACATCTGCTAAGCAGGCTGTGACCCACTGCCACTGGCAGGTTTTTTCTGTGTAGATGTACCAGGGCATTCTTAAGATTGCTTGTACAGTGCTGAAATGGCTTTGGCACTCTGATGGAGGTACAGAAAAAGGAGGAGAAAGTGCTGCATCTGGACTCAAAACATGCCACAAGCTTTCAACACCATCTGAGGACATTCCAGAAGAAACAATGAGAATGGGAATGAGGGAAAGGAAGCCTTGATGTGGTTATATAGACCATGGCTGACCCCAAATTTTCTAGTCAAATGGCTTTTTTTTCCTCAGGAGCTCTCTCTTTCTCCTTCATAGCTTCTCTCTCATACTCTTTCTTCTGACTGCTGCATTTAAGTTCACACATTCACTGTCAGAAAAAATGTGCTGGGTATCCAGCCAAGTTCCTTTGGCACAACATGCAGTGCGTGTTCTAATGTTAAATTCCCAGCCCTTCACATCTCATTCATCAGTGATGGGCAGTGACAATCAGATTGATTCTCATCCTATCTAAGTTTTCAGACTCACATTAATGCTAAAATAAATAAAAATGCAGATGTAAAAATGTAATCACATATTTAGACAGGATGACCGTGTAGATTTTTTAAGTATATCAATCATCCTATCGGCTCTTACACCAATCTTTGCAAGTGCCTTAATTCATAGAATACATTTACATTTTATAGTCTGGCTCTTTTGAAGTCAATGGTAAAAGGCATTACAGATTTGACTCTCCCCAAACCTGTAAGGCAGACACTCAGACATCCTTTGTTAATAGTGTCCTCAATATCTAGTGCCTTCTATGAAAAGAAACTCTGGTTTGAAAAAATTATCAGTCTTACCAAATGCCCATAAGATGAATTGAGGTAGCATCTTTAGGATTCAGTTCAATGGCCTTCTAGAAAGGAAAAGACAAAGCTATAAAAAGCCATTTCACCAAATCTAGGTTAAGAACACCCTTTGTTTTCTCCTTCTATTTCTGCAAACACCACCAGGGATACATTATTCACAATC